ACGTCCCTTATGAGCACTTTTTCCAAATCTAGAGATCGCGATTTTCTGGACGTGTAATCAGCATACCAGGGAAACACTGGCAGAGCCAACCCTTCACAAACTACATTGCTGAGTGTTATACCGGGGCAGAAACACTGGTAATGCGACTATAGTTATTGTTTAGTGCTGGTTACCTTGGAATCCAGCGCATGGATCTATCCCTTCTGGCTGATTACTGAAATGTTCCGAAAATCACCTGAAATCTTTGATCTTGCGCGCTTTAAAAATCAATCATTGGATGAGGTGTAGTCAAACTTTACTACGCCTTCTGTTCAGACGCAAAAACGCACGAACTGAGTTTTACCGTTAGAAGGAGTGATTTATCTGCAAGATCTTTGCTTTCAGAAGATCGAGTAATGATTAATGCAAAACACCTGGTTATAGTTGTTCCATTGAGTAAAAAACTGACTGTTTACTCAGCCTTATGTAAATCACTGCTTCAAATTAATTATAAGCTGGGCAAAATTTCAGTTCGACTTTCTCAAATTATTTCAGGGTTGATAATCGAGATTGAAAACTTAGGCCACTGTTTATAACTTATGTCGAACAAAGGCCACATTCTGAAATGGAAAATGTAAATCGGACAAACGATAGAGCGTTTTTCTCATCGACGAGAATTAACGAGCCGCAACACAAAAATTCAAGCTGAAGAATTTCTCGAAGTACATTCTGCAATAACATTCAGCTGTTTTCCAAACCAATGACGTTTCACTGGATGCCATCCTTTACTAAAAATAAAAACTGTCCATTGATTATGACCAGCTCTGAATCTAAGAAGCATTTTGGCTTAGCTCAGTGTATGGATCGAATGCAGGTTGACTTATGGTTCCGATACGAAGGACCGATGGAGAGAGATCTTAAAGAAAATAATGACATTCGTGCGTTTCGCTGAAAACGAAGGAATTATTATGAAAGTTGAATTGTCGATCTTCCCTACAATTTCACGATGGGGCCGTTACTGCCACCGTTCTTCTCAATAAGTTATTCGTGGGCCCCTAATTTCCCTTTCCATTACATCAACCAGGAGTGCCTTATTTTAAAGTCAGAATCGACAGCAACAATCAGGTAAGTATAATATATACGTCTACAAAATGATCCTCATTCATCATTCTAGGGAGCAAGAATAGCGAGTGACCCCGACCCAGACTTGATCCCGTGACCTCTCGGTTCCTCGTCTGACTCTCTACTGATTGTGCAACCTTCTTTTCGCTTACATTACGGAAAACCGTTGAAAAATCAGAAATACGTGACGCCGGCTTCACCATTTCAGATTCACAATGTAAAGGCCTAGAGCTGAACAAATATTTCGCAAGTAGAACGACAATCACGCTATCTAAAGCTCGGTTACCGACACTATATCTGAAGAGTGGTACTTCGATCGTGCGAGATTAATACGGTTTATTAATACACAACGCAAAAAAATGATATGGACAGCTGTATGCTTGACCAACACTGACATTATGACCAGTGCCTGACTATCCTTTTTCAAGGTCAAAGGTTGGTAGCTAGCGTTTTAGAGGTACCCCTTGTTGTTCGCAGCGATTGGTTTGTTTGGATCTGGGCGACATGGGCGTTAGTGCTTATCCTATCCGAGCATAATTAGTGTCTTTTGTCAAGATTGAGATAATACTCTCAGATTAATATCTATTTTACATTTTACATGCCTGTGCAGCCAGCTTCCTTTTTGATACTGATGATACACTATAAACAGTAACCATTGGAGGGTACCTTTAAGCCACGTACTGCGCAGTCCCGGAGGTTTTTTCACCTCATTCGTTGACTTTGCTGGTGGCGATGCCTTCCTGGTTGCTTCGTTATCACTTTTCCCTCATGCTCGTTTGCGACAATCCATCTTCTCAGCCTTACAGGTGTGTTTTTGTTCTCTAACTGGTGTTGTTCCCTGTTTTTTATGTGAAATATTTCCCGCAGTTAAACGATAATTTGCGATCCGAGCCTAAAGAGTCGTTATTTTTAGAACTACTTAATAATGCATTGGCATATTAGGACTATTATGCATAACGTTAATACTAAATTCATCATTAAGTAATAGTATTTTTCTTTTGCTACCGGACTTATACGGTACAGCGCCTTTTTCTTGCTTCTAGCAGCCTAGGGAACCCTTTAAGCATGTCACGGCTCAATGTTATTTGTGCAACTACAGTGCATGGATGCAGAATCGCATCTCCGGGCAGATCCGAAAAACTCCTGTTCGGACACCTGCCGATATACCACTCTCAATAAGCATACTTATACGTAAAAAATAAATACGATATTATCTGTCTTTTAGCATACTGCTAATTTTCGACACCGCTATCCATTCACCGCAGGAGCCCAAATACTATTGTCCCCTTGGCCACTAGAAGCAAGGGGACGGTGCTCGATAGTAGAAGAAAAATGTTAAGGCGGTGGCATGGAAAATTAGCAGTATGCTTGTACACCGATAAAATCTGTGCTTGTTTTTATGTATAATGTTAAGTTATTTTGTAACTTGTCACTAAAGTTTTTATGATAAGTTAGAATTAGATAGGGCTTATTGAAAAAGACTCGTGAGACACTGTTCGAAATGTTATTGTTAGTCAGCCATCCCAATGACTATATTAATTTTTCGTTATAGATTAATAGATAATTTCTTATGCTGTTTTCAACACCACACCATATTTGGCTTTTCTTGCAACTGTAAAATATAAGGATCAATAAATTTTGGCAAACATCAGAACATCTTTACCGAATGATACAGCTATTATAGATGCGGCGACGGAGAGATAATTCATGTGCTTCAGATGAAACGTTCAAGGAAGAGAAATAACGTTATCTATTTTTTTCAAATGCTGAGAAATTAGACCTATTTTAAAAAGCAGATCAATAATAAAAGTTTTCTAACTCTTTTTAGTAGTTTGTAATGTTAAACGAATGTTAAAAGTTATTACTGACGTACTTTCGATAGCCTTTGCATTTCGAAATGCTTTGTTCGTCGTGTGATCACAGGAAATTGGAAATCAAGATATCGGTTCGTTATTTCGTCTGGTTTCTGAAACTGGTTTGGTGATCTGCGACTTCTGTCAACCATAAAAACTGTTTATTCACGATCAGTTTCAATCTCAGCGCATTATAACATCGAACAGTGCCCAGTTTTCGAATCCTACGATAT